GGGGGGTAGGTGCATCATGATGATGTTTCTCGGCGAAGTAGTGTGGGATCGAACATTCAAGCTTCTCTCGCATGTCAAGTGACTGCTTTCACGGGTGTGGTTCACTAGGACAGAAAGCGACTTTTTCGCGTTTCGCAGCGCGAAACATTTTTCGCTGCGGGAACCTCAGGTCCACCGCTGATCATCAGTGGACCCGAGGTTCCCGCAGCGAAAAATGTTTCGCGCTGCGAAACGCGAAAAAGTCGCTTTCTGTCCTAGTGAACCACACCCTGCTTTCACCCGCTACCTTTAGACTGGCTACACTCCCCCTGGCTCGGAGTTACCCTAGCTTTCTGGAAAAACTGCATCATGATGCCCCCTAACTAGAATAGACCCCAAATTCTTTTCTTGTAGTATTTTCTCTTTTGAGCTTATGTCTACTCTCTCTAGGAATTCAGGAATTGCGAAGTGGGGAGTGGTTCATTAGGACAGAAAGCGATTTTCGCACGCGAATCATTTTTCGTTGCGAGAACCTCAGGTCCACCGCTGATCATGAGTGCAGTTCTATAGTGAAATACGTTTCGCGGTGCGAAACGCGAAAAAGTCGCTTCCTGTCCTAGTAAACCACACCCTGCGAAGTGATTCGTTGCAAAAGGAATAGGTGTGCCTGCTGTAGGAAATATATTTCAAGGTTGACGGTCTCGCCCGTGATTGGTGTTTATGAATGGCTCGACCTTCATTCACCTTTTGGAAGTTATCTCAGATAAGGCTAACGTAAAGGAATCGTGGCGCCCATAACCACTCTTCAATATGCTGCGGCGACCACTCACTTCCATTGAAATAAAAGCTGACGACATCGATCACATGGAGAGGGTTCTGCTGGAAGCATACCAGAAAAAGGTTTGTGGCTTCACGTTTTTGATTCCTTAATTACGTCAAAATCACGATTGGCTATTAATTTATCTGCGTGGCAATATGACTCCTCAGCACGAACATCACGTATGAAGTGCGAAATGCTATGTGCTCCGAACCTTTCAAACTCACCGAAATCGCAATCTGCTTTACAAGGGAAAGGCATCGATTTGGTCTGACCACCAGAAGGGAATTGATATGTTCCATCATAACTATGAGGCAAAGCGTGACGAGTATTATTTCTTCCGATTCTCTTTGAAAATGTCCGTATAAAGGCAGCGACATCATTGCTGGTTGAAAATTCCTCCTTGAGCTCAACTTATATGTTACATCTAGTTCATATCTTCTAGGGTGCTACGAAAACGTCTGTTGAGTCAGATCCGAGCAGTGCAAGCTTCGGCACACCCGCTAATGAAGGTAAGTAGTGTAGTTTGTTCATTGAGAAGTTTCACTTCATTCTCTCCTTACCTTTTTTTCGAAGGCCTATCCAGCTGCCGATCCTGACATCGCATGATCGGCAGTTGGATAGGCCTCCGAAAAAATGAACCGCGTCTTGTTATTGCGTCTGAAAATGAAAGCTCTGGGCGAGTAATATGGCTGGAGTTGCTGGCTGCTGGGGAGAGTGAACAGACTTTATGCGTGAGAACCAGAGTGAAAATCATGTCAGAGTCGTGGTCGCAGCTGAGTGACCCCTGAGGTGTCCGGGGTCTTGATACGACCCGTCTAATTTTGATTTGATGTGAAGAAACTAGCTGCAGTATATGTACTCGAAGTACGCAGTTGCAGCGCGGTTTATCCCTGGGTCAGATTTACCGAAACAGAGCTCCAACTATGAAATATACACCTCGTTGAAAGCCTATGCCACTCATCTCAGAACTAGAATTGAGCAGCGATGAGGAGGTGATTAGAGATAGGGTTTTATTCAGCGTTTGGAAATTGCCCTAAGCTTCTAGTGGAGAGACAATGTCCTTCGAACTGCGTTCGAGAGCATCGAGGACGCCGGAAGTTTTATACGAGTTTTTGTCTTTTGAAAGGGAATATCTCTCTGATTTTGTAAGAACTTCGAAATAAGGAAGAAAATTCATTAAAGCGGAATCTTCGCGATTTCTGACGGTCTGTTCGGCTTTTTTGCGAGCTTTTTATTTAAGGAGATATCTGCGTCGTTGATCTATCGAAGACGATTCTTGACCACTCGAAAACCGCTTATCTTGCTTCACCATGCAAAGTAGTTCGTTGGCAATTCTCGAAGTATGTCGAGAATACATTCTGCTAAGGTAGGCGATAAAAAAGGGGCAATCGCCTTGGTCAGATTTCGCCTTGGTATAGGCCATCCAAGCGACCTCCACTCAAACTTGCAGAATCGATTGAAAGGTGTTGCATGGTGACCTGTTAACAGAAATTGCAGAGTAGTAGACACATTTCATAACTCCTATATGCCAGGGCCTCCTTCCCTACTGCCGTTTTTGGTCAGAGGGATGCTTGCACGTGTGTCCTTGGCTTGCGAAGATGCATTTCATCGAGTATGCTCTATCAAACCCTTCTCATAAAGGCTGGACTGCAAGACATTTATCTTTTCTCCGTTCTCATATCATTTTCCTTAATATATAGTTTTCTGCAGGCTCACTCTCCATTAATCTGCACCTTATTGAACTCAACGAACACGTCGAGTTCAAGGCCATTTCCTGGATACCCTTGTCTTAGATCTCCCCGACCACATTTACCCTGGTGAGAACAGATAGTAGTGAGCGCAGACACCAGCGCGTTCGCATGCACCGTTGCGTTGAGTATGCATTGATGTAAGTCATAAGTCTCCACATTTTCTGCCCATTCCTTTCGAGATGGGGATAGGCACTCCGCATTTGACCTTGCTTTATTTTACAGAATATGTGGTATCAACGAACTAAATCAACAAGCAGATCAAGTTATAAAGGCAATATTACAGTTTTGCTTCGCCCGCTATCGCGCGCATCACACGGCAGGCTTTAGCGAAACTGAAAGACCCATGGAATATCAGCATGAGATACTCCATTAGCCATCTCACTATTGAATGTGTTAGACCCTTCCACAGTTTCGCTGAAGTCATCGAGAATACGCGTGATAACGTCTGGAGCTGAACTGGCATATTTTCTCAACTGTTAAACACCAGGATTTCCTTGAATCTAATGATAACTCGAGCCGGTTGATAGGTTTCTTTGTCTCATATCTCAAAATAAAACGAAAAAATAGCCTATTCCAAAGCAAGGAACTTATGCTTATCACAAGCTAATTCACATTATTAGTTGCCGAATAGATGGAATAGCGGTTTAATGAGTTTGGGTTTCTCGATAGTGCATCAGAGATGAGGCTTATCATTTGCTGAAGACTTGTTTGGGTTTATGCAGTCGAATGAATTCTATTAAGTAAGCATACAATTTGTAGATAGGAACGCAACTTCAGCGTTCTGGCGCGCCTTATCGGCCCTTATCAATCGTTATCAGTTTCTGGCACCCACCAACAATGTCCCCGTCCCACCCCACATAACACTTGTAAGTGGGTTGCTCTGGTGTCAACGCGAGCCAGGCAACGGAATCGACGACTTCAGCGTTCTGGCGCATCTTATCGGCCCTTATCAATCGTTATCAGTTTCTGGCACCCACCAACTGTCCCACCCCACATAACACTTGTAAGTATGGTTGCTCTGGTGTCAACGCGAGCCAGGCAACGGAATCGACGACTTCAGCGTTCTGGCGCGCCTTATCGGCCCTTATCAATCGTTATCAGTTTCTGGCACCCACCAACAATGTCCCCGTCCCACCCCACATAACACTTGTAAGTATGGTTGCTCTGGTGTCAACGCGAGCCAGGCAACGGAATCGACGACTTCAGCGTTCTGGCGCTTCTTATCGGCCCTTATCAATCGTTATCAGTTTCTGGCACCCACCAAGTTCCGTCCACCCAATAACATATGCAGTATGCTTACTCTGTGTCAACGCGAGCAGCAACGAATCGACGACTTCAGCAGAATCTGCGACATTTCGACTATTTCACGTTTCAGTTTTGGCAAATACAACAATTGTCCCCGTCCCACCCACATAACACTTGTATTTAGTATGAGGTTCTTCTCGGATGTCAACGCGACCAGCACGGAATCGCACTTTCCCATTCTGAGCTACATTCGACCTTTCAATGTCACAGTTAGCGCCCTCAAACAAGTCTCCGTCCCAGCCACAACAAGCAAGTATGTTGATCTGGTGTCAACGCCCGAGCAGGCACAGAATCGACGCTTCAGCTTCTGACGAACTTATCGACTTTTCAATCGTGTCAGTTCGAGCTGACAACAAGTCTCTTCGTCCGACCCAATACACTTGTAAGATGGTTTGCTCTGGGTCACCGAGATGGCAAACGGAATCGACGACTCAGCGTTCTGACGCACTTTATCGACCCTTATCAATCGTTATCAGTTTCTGGCACCCTACCAACAATGTCCCCGTCCCCACCCACATAACACTTGTAAGTATGGTTGCTCTGGTGTCAACGCGAGCCAGGCAACGGAATCGACGACTTCAGCGTTCTGGCGCGCCTTATCGGCCCTTATCAATCGTTATCAGTTTCTGGCACCCACCAACAATGTCCCCGTCCCACCCCACATAACACTTGTAAGTATGGTTGCTCTGGTGTCAACGCGAGCCAGGCAACGGAATCGACGACTTCAGCGTTCTGGCGCGCCTTATCGGCCCTTATCAATCGTTATCAGTTTCTGGCACCCACCAACAATGTCCCCGTCCCACCCCACATAACACTTGTAAGTATGGTTGCTCTGGTTCAACGAGAGCAGGGCAAGCATCGACGACTTCACATTTGACGCACCTTAATCGACCTTATTATCTGTTCGTTTCTAGACGTACCACATGTCTCGCCCCACCCACATAACAATGTAAGTAGGTTGCTCTTCATTCGAGCGCCCTGTCAACGCGAGCCAGGCAACGGAATCGACGACTTCAGCGTTCTGGACGCGCCTTATCGGCCCTTATCAATCGTTATCAGTTTCTGGCACCCACCAACAATGTCCCGTCCCACCCCACATAACACTTGTAAGTATGGTTGCTCTGGTGTCAACGCGAGCCAGGCAACGGAATCGACGACTTCAGCGTTCTGGCGCGCCTTATCGGCCCTTATCAATCGTTATCAGTTTCTGGCACCCACCAACAATGTCCCCGTCCACCCCACATAAACTTCGTAAGTATGGTTGCTCTGGTGTCAACGCGAGCCAGGCAACGGAATCGACAACTTCAGCGTTCTGGCGCGCCTTATCGGCCCTTATCAATCGTTATCAGTTTC